TTATAATCAAAATTTAAAAGAAAAATAAAGATATATGTAGGACAAACTTCCACACAGGTGAACGGAATAGTGAAGAAGGATAAATAATGTTTAAGGGTGGTTCCAAAGACCACTACAGACTTGAAGAAGCCAGAAAACAGATCGGAGATTGTACTGCCCTTGATAGAAACAGGACACAAGATCGAATTTGATAGGATTAAAGTTCTACACAAAGGTTTTGGTTTGTATAAAGAAACACTGACCTCAGAAATCCTACATATATGCGGATGAATCCCAAAAGCTTGAACAGGCGTAAAGGTGTGATGTTTGCTAGCTGATGCATGTCTAATCCTGATTAATAAATAAATAAAAATGGATATGTTTCACTAATTTATCATTCCTAATCTAATTTTCCGATTTTTTATATCTTCTTATGGAGAGGCTATCAAATGATTTACAATTGTTTTCTTATTCAAAAACCATTGTATGCGGTATATATATATTTTTTCAATAGTTGGTTTGTAAGGATTCGTTTTGTTTTTATGAGTTTGACCACGGATTGATATCAGTTAGAGAACCATTAAAAACTAGCTTGGAGTACTGGAGAGCCAGCTGTTTTATCCTAGTTTGGGAATCATCCGCAGTACGCACGCATCGCCAGGGTTCGAATCCAGGACCTTCAGGTTACAAGTAAAGCTAGCTCGCATGCCATTCAGCCACTAGAATTAGATTCAACGGCCAGCCCACGAATTCTAGCTTCTACCAATTTGTGATATGGCGCGACCACAACCATTGTCTTTGGTGGGACATCCATCCTGATACTTGACTGTATGAACCTCACTGGTCATGACTTCTCATCAGAACTCCAGGAAACTCCGTGCCAGGATAAAAGAGCTGTCCAGTTCTCCCTGGCTTTCAATGGTTCTCTAACTGATATTAATCCTTGATCAACTCGTAATATGTATATATTAATTTTACCATGACCATGAGCTTTAGTCGAATGTAATCACTGCAGTCTGATGAATTAGTACACACTGTTTACAGTGTTTAAGAAAAGTAGACTAATATTTGTAATTTTGAGGTCAAGTTGTGATCACAGTTCACGCAGTTTTGTTTATCTTATTTTTCAAGAGTTGATTTATAGGGATTTAATTTGTTTTCCAAGATTGATTGCCAACTTATAACAGTTAGAGAACCACTGAGAGCCAGGGAATACTGGACAGCATAATTTGGGACTCATCGGCAGTACGCACCAACCGGGTTTCGAAACCGGGACCTTACTGTTACAAGGCAAGCCCGTAGACTATTATCTCTATATCTATCCATTACTCTCATGATTAGACAAGGATAATAAAGACATGCCCCTAAATATATATGCCTTTGTTATTTTAATTTTGAATAATTTCGCCGAAGACGTTCGGATCACTTTGCTGAACGGATCGTAGGCATTATTTGTTCTAATTTCCTTGAGATATTTTGTGTCTTTTCTCACTCGGTACGTAACCGCTGTCGAATTACTCGGTCAAATCTTGATCACAGCTAGTGTAAAATATATCAAATATTTATAATTCCAATATGTTAGGAGGCATTGTGTCTCTAAAATGCCTCTCCATTTATGTCTTAGTCATGAATAGTTATCAAAAACATATACAATCCCTACAAACTAATTCTTGAGAATTAGTCCGGTGCTTGCTAGTGACTAGCTACAGTATGAAATTGCCTGGAGGTCTAGCGAGAAGTCGTGACCACTGGGGTCCATTCAGTCGGAAGGGATTATGGATTTCCAACCAACGACATTAGCTGGTGATCGCTCTAAAATCTCGAATTCGTAGAAGTAGGAATTCATCCTCTGGCCACTAAATCGGGTCACAGTGGCTGTATGATCTACGAGCTAGCTTGACTTGTAACTGGAAGCTCCTGGGTTTGAAACCCGGTGGGTAGGTGCTACTAGTGAGCCCAAAACTTGTCTGTTCATGACTCTCTGGTTTTCAGTGGTTCTCTAACTGATATCAATCCGTAGTCTTACCTGAAAACAAACAACGTTGCCTGAATTGTAATTAAGATTTAAACGAGTAGTTACACAAACTTATTATTAGCCTGTCTTTTCATGCACTATTGACAAAAAATTGTGTACCTTTAAATCAGACTTTAGTAACAGTGCTCGAATAAAGGTTGTGTTTATGGAAATGAGATTGAGATCTTGAGCTACAGGGCAGGACATTATTACCTCAAGTCAATGCTTGTGTACGGAATAGAGTGCTGGCGTGCACACCACTAAAAGCGTTTTCAACAGTCGTCTACATACTTTCATCGGTGTCTATCTTCACCTCCTACTGAAGATCAGAGGGATGAGGAGAAACGATAGTCGACAATGAAGTCTGGCAATCAACCAACCAAAAAGAATAAAACGGAATTAAATGGAGATGAATCAGTCACACGCTGAGAAGTTTCTTGAGAGACATCATGAGCCAGGCCAGCCTTCAAGTAAAAAATTAAATAGGATACGACAATTTCTGCGTAGGTTCTACAGTGATATGTAACAGATCGGATTAGTAGGAAATGAAACCTGATGAACAATCATGAGGTCGACTGAAAAGGACAGAAGCGATGAGAGTGAAATGAAGACGTGCCGCTGAGGCCATATGTTCCACTTGGAACCCAAGGGAATAGTTTTAATAATAAAATGATAATATCAAACACCATGAGTCGGTTAAGCTTAATCAATATTCTGTATGTTATTGAGGTGAAAAGTGAGAGGTTTCCATATCTACGACTAATGTGGTATCAGTATATTGTGTAAACGAAGAGAGACTTATGCTGCTCCAAGAACTGTCACCGAATAGTGCTTTTGACCACTACAAGAGAAATACTAAGTCCTGTCATCTTGGAAAGACTAAAAGATGAACTGGATGAAGAACTCACCCCCCTCCCCACCCAGAACAAGCTGGACTCAGTAAAGGCTAATCATATGCTGACCAAATCGCAATTCTAGGCATCGCCATCACATAACAAGGCATAGAATGGTAGTCAAACCTCAACCTTAGCTAAATCGACTTCGAAAAGGCTTTCGACAGTGCAGCAATGACCGAGAAGTAATTTGGAAACTACTTCAACAATACGATGTGCAGTCCCCACGTTTTTAACAACCTCATTCAACAGCTGACAATGCCTTCCATGTGTCAGGTGACCCGCAATGAAAAATTCAGCCAATTAAGCTTTCGAAGTGAAAATAGGAGTACGCCAAGGCTGATTACTATCACCTATGACGATATTCCTTATTCTGGCGGCCTGGATTATGCACCAGACTGAAGAGGCGACAAGAAAACAAGAGTAAGCCAGACCGATAGGAAAACTCTAGAAATTCTGGACTTCATTGAAGAGTCATTTCCCATTTCAAATAAATTCTAATACATACAGACTAACATTAACAAATTGCCAGAAACGTCTGGTAGCGAAAACAGGCCTTCAAGTTAAAATAGAAAAGATGTAGATGATGAAGATGGCGAACCGACAGGAGCCAGTCACTGCCAACGGAAGAAATGTGAAAGGGGTGACTTCCTTCACTTATCTAGGCAGTGTCGTTTCAACGACAGGTGAAGATTTCAAAACCACAATCGGAAAGGTAAGGTACACCTTCTTCGCTCTGAAATTAGTTGAGAAATCTAAACTGCACAGCATAAACACTAATGACAAGTCAGTCTGTTCTTCTATATGGGTTTTAAACTTAGGTAGTATGTCAAAAGAAAGCATTTTCAACAGCCTGATTCATACTTTTATGAATAGCTGCCTTCACTAGCTCCATACTGAAAATGAGATAGTCAGCCAATGGAAACCAGAAGGCAGAAACTGTGGGGATGCATCAACGAAGAATAAACTTTTGCAAGGGAATAGAGATGCATCGGGAACAAGCGGAAGACACTATCTAATGGCATCATGCACCAGGCCATAGCTCGATTAGAACCTGAGTATGAAACAACAATGAGGGCGTCCAATGGTGATATGGGAAACGAGAAGAACGGGATATCCTCGGCCGACGTGAAGAACCTAGAAGACCTGGATTTCGCGGATGATTTATGTTTGATGTCACACACAAATCGATGACTTACAAGCGAAAACCGACAAACTGGTCGAAGGAGCAGCAAACACAGGACTGACTCCAGGTGAACGTAGACAAGACGGAGGTCATGAAAATAGCCAACAACAACAACAACAACAGCAACATCCAGTGCCAATCACCATCAACGGGAGGGATTTCAAAGAGGTTACTTCACTCACTTATCTAGGGAGCATTGTCTCAACTACAGGAGGAACGGAGGAGGATGTCAAATCGAGAATCGGGAAGGCGAGAAACACATTCATCAACCTGAAACCAATCTGGAAATCTTCGTCACTCCTCAGCATCAACAACAAAATTGGGATTTTCAATACAAACGTCAAGTCAGTTTTGCTATACGGATCAGAAACTTGGTGGCGGGTCACAAAGAATACTTCCAACAGCCTGTTGCAGACCTTTATCAACAACTAACTGTATTTGCTCTATACTGAAATTCAGATGGCCGGAAAGAACAAGAACCAACAAGAAACTATGGGAACAAACAAAACAAGAACCAATCACACAACAAACATGCAGGAGAAAGTGGAGATGGATTGGACACTCACTGGCTGAGGAGGCCGCTGGGTGACATCGCGCGTCAGGCCAATGCTCGAGTGGAACCCAAAAGGGAAGCGGCGAGTAGTGCAAGGATGACATGAAGGAGATCGTGTGAAGAAGGGGAGTTGAAACAGTATGGACTAACATGGATGCAGGTGAAAAGAACAACAGAAGACAGAAGCAAGCGGGGACGCGCCGTTGAAGCTCTATGTTCCACTGAGAACCCAAGAGCTGATTTCTAAATTAGCCGCCTTCGTTTACACTTTTAAACTAATGACTATCACTCAGAGTACCAAAGACTAACCCTGACAATCATCATATCACATCGATCACATGAAATTTGTTACAAATTCGACTGTTTTCACACCACTATTATATAACAAGAAGAAGGAAAAGAAGAGGAAAAACACTTTGAGTTCTGATCAAAAACACTCACTTTTAATGTAAAACACATTGAGTACATGTGTGTGTGTATAAATGTGTGTTTATGTGTGTTTGTGTTTGTGTGTGCATATATTGATGTATATACGAAAATATGTTCACAGAAATGATTCATACATAGTGTTCACATTACACACAATATGATTATTACCATAAATGTTAATAAGCTGTCAATGACGTGACATTATAATATTGTCAAAATACAAACAAATACGCACAAAATGGAACCGTATGCACTCCATCTGATGATGTAAGAAGCATTAAAGATGATAAAAAGTGTCATAAGAGAATAGGATTCCTCTTTGTGTCTGTCTGTCTCCCTCCCCCCGTCTGTGTGTTTGTATGTTCCTTGATTAGTTCTCAGTATTCTCCTCCGTGTTTGTAACTTTATCCAACGGCAATGAATTATTATTCTGTTGATGAGTCGCCTCTTTCACGAGGCGTGATTTCCCCGTACAATGTTTCAACTTCAGCTTTAAATCAGTATAAAATTTTTGTGTACATGCACGAAAATGTCGATTCATACAAGAATAAATGATTGGGTTCAGGGCTGAATTGATAAAATACATATAAAATAGTACTCGACGGATTTGACTAGTCCAATGAGGCTTATCCCGGAGCACTTCGACTTGCCTCTTTTGTATTGGTATTGTTGTATAGACTAAATATGGTGTATAGGAGATAATAAAGTTCACTGCGACTAATGCCAATGTTTGTGCTGTACGCACATGTGGTTTACGTCGACGTTCAAGGTTGGCTGCTGTCAGCTGTTTTGGGGAATCTGAGTGAGATTTCATTTCAACTGGACTTTTATTTTTGTCATTACTTGATATCTTTAAATCATTCAGGTGGATAAGACACTGTGGTTGTTTCGTTACCTTAGCAACCACCCCATCACCACCAGCAGCGCCACCACCGGCACCCCCAGGACTGTTGTGAATTAGATTTTGAAACGTAAAAGTAGGATTTTGAATACTTTTCAAATAATCTTCATTCTCTACATCTTTTTCGCATAGACATGCACAACTTAACCGATCTAGATTAGACGCTTCAAAACTTGTTGAAGTAGTTATATCTGCTTGTGGCTGATTAACACAAAGTGTACTACTGACTTGTTGAAGTGGTATTGCTTCTTGTTGTTGTTGTTGTTGTGACTGGTGTAGACTTTCATGACTCTGTTCCTTGGCTTCATTTTGAAGACTTAAACTTTGTTGTTTCGATTTCGCAGTTTGTGCATTCTCATTATTAATATTACTGTTATTGTTATTAATGTTGTTGTCATTCTGTTTCTGTTTACGGCGAAATGACAGTCGCTTCCTAAATGGATACCATATCGACGGACTGATCGCTTCACCGGAAGAATTCGGCGCTGCATGTATACGTACCCAGCTGCCTTTTGCAACTTTAGAATTGCCATATTTTTCATACATAAATGATTCATGCCTCCAAACGAATAAAAATATTAAAGCATATGTCCCAGCTGTACCAATAAACAGGCCAATAAATAAAATCAATACACAGATTTGATGATACCAGTACATGTTATCATTCAGGTATGTCTCGTCTTTATCACAACGTTTTGTTACACGTAGTTGAATAAACCATTCTTTACTCTTGAATGTAGATAAACTATGCTTCAGCGTATTCAAATCCAACAGTTCATCGTGTTCTTTACACGCGTCAATAGCGGTCACATGTAGACCCATTGGAAGAGCACATAACAGACCAATACAAAAGATTATCACCAGGGCTATGATAATATGTTTACGTTTCATTTGTATACCGGGTATAAAACATATCAGCAGGAATCTTTCCATAGCTATTAACATTAATATACACGCTGATATTGGTACAACAAACCCTTTCATCGACAGGTGTATCCTGCATATCCAATCTGTTGTATCCCCTGTCCAAATATCTAAGTACAGGGTACAGGGGATTACAATTAAGCAGATGAATAAATCGTTACATGCCAAGAGAAGAATAAACAGACCAGAGACAATACCTTGACTAACTTGTTTACGAAATGCCCAGACAACAAGACTATTTCCAATGGTACCAATAATAGAAATGCTGACAAGTAGAATTGTTGTTGCGATAATACTTGGCAACAGAATTTCAACAGGTTCAGTTGTAAAAGGATTAATTGTCCTGTTCTGTTGAATCAATGATTCGTCAGCTTGCATTAAGATAACAGATGGCGAGGTATTGTAATAACTACTCATGATATGTAGGCCTCTAATATGCGTAAATGACGATGTAAGTTCGCATAGCCATTATATGTGATAGGTTGGTTTTAAAACTTGATATATAAATATATTCACCTCATTTATTAAACGGAAATTTAGCATGCTTTGAAATTCAGATTTTAATAATTATCTTCTTTGTTATCTTTCGGCCTTTTTGTTAATCTTTGTAGAATTTCATTAAAACGTGTCACTGTTTTGAATGAAGGAGTGAATGGCAAGTTTATGCATGCCATTATATATATTTATATCTGTTTCACCAATTGAATGTCCTTTATTCTGATTGGTTATAAGCAAGAATCAATTTGATTGGTTAATACAGACAGGATTACGGTTTATTGGAGGTAAATTGAGACAGACGGGATGAATCTTTAATTTTCCCTCTAAATTTAGACAGTATCCTCTTTTGTTTACACAAACTGTATGACCTTTTGTTTGTATTTATTAATTTTTATTTATTTATTTATTTACATTTTCTAATAAATATGAAAAAGGGAATTGGGCAAATATTTGTTCAGTTGTGTTGCATGAAGCACAGCAGAGCGAAAACAGAACATAACACAAAATAGAGACAGATTTATGTGTTTACTGTGATATTTCGAAATCCAGGCAAGCAGTGTTAAGGAAAAAATATTTTCAAAAATTCCTTCTGAATAGATTGTCTATTGAACTCTGTTGGCAGACCGAGAAATCTGGAGTGAGAGGCAAGTAGAGACGGTGAGGAAATTTGTGCCACTTGGCTTCAATACCTAACCTACCATTTGCTTATTTGGGTATTAAGTAATATGTTACTGAGGTTTTTGTTTATGCTATTCCTCTGAAACACTATTTTATCATCTTAAGACAATAATCTTGTTTGTCTGTGTTTGTGTAGTTGTGTGTGTCTGGTGTTTTCCACATTTCTAACAAGCTGGAAAGGTGGTCATATCGGTGAATTTTGGAGGCAATACAGTGAGTGTACTAATGTCGGTGTAATAAAAAGGTCAGGCGTATAAACGAGGGAAAGAAAAGTTTTTGGTTTTTTCACCGGTTTCACAATTTGATTCATTATTATTTAACACTAATAAGTTTCCTATTAACATTAATTAGTTGCCAAGTAAACTGCAGATATGTAAATATTTATATTATTATTATTGTTTCCTTTAGTTCCTAGAGGAACATAGGGCTTCAGCCGAACGTCTACATTGCGTTCGGTTCTCCGACAATGTTTTCACCGGGCTCCAAGCCTGCTCACATGCTTTCATCTCCTCTTTGCATGACCTCCTCCATGTCACCCTCACACTGACGACCAACTCGCCGCTTTCAATTCGGGTTCCATTCGAGCAATGGTCTGTCTTGCGATGGCCTTCTCAGAGTATGGCCAATCCACCTTCATTTCTCCGTGCATATTCGTTGCACAATCGGTTGCTGGTTGGTTCGTTCGTTCCCAGAGATCCGTGTTGCTGATCTTTTCTGGCTGGTCATCTGATCTTGAGTAGTATTGAACGATGACAGCTGATAATGAATGTTGGTAGTTTGTTTGAGGTGATGTAAATATGTGATTGTAAAACACTTTAGCAGTAGTGTAGCTCGCGCATATTCTAACCCTTCTCAAGCCTGTATAAAGAGGGAAGGTTGATTGTAAGGTGAGAGAACTTTTCTCGGAAAATCAATCGAACTGCTACAGAAATTTTCAACGCACAAGAGAAATATTGATAATACAAAGAACAAACTTATTTTACGCTGGAATAGAAGGGGACAGATGATACAGCGGAATGGCTGTTGAAAGCCTTCGAGAAGCCAGTCAGTCAGCCGATGTGTCATCTCTCTATGAAAGCAAGAATAATAATTGGGACGTGGAATGTCCGTACAATGTAGGAGGCTCTTTGGGAAGGCTTTCCAGATAGCCAAAGAAAGGAGAAGATATGACATGGAAGTGCTGAGTATCTGCAAGAGCAGATGGAATGGATTATCAAAATTGTCAACTGGTGAGTCAGTAATCTACTCCAGTCTGGTAGCCCAGACGACAACCACGAGCTTACTGAGGCAGTAGTCAGTGGCTATCAGGATATAATCAGTGGTAGCCAAAGCACTAATGCAGTGGGAACCAATTTCATCTAGCATCATGACAGCAAGATCCAACTCAGAAGTAAGGAAGGAAGGAAGGTTGCAATTATCCAATGCCAGACACAATGCTACAAACAATGCATAACAAGAGAAGAAGGAAGATTTTTACAGACAACTACAAACAGTAATTGACAACATACTAAACAGTGACATCAAAATCCTCATGGGCGATATGAATACCAAACTGAGAACAGATAATACGGGAGAAGAACTCATCATGAGTCGAGAGGTCATCTCTCGGAGAAATGAATGAGAATGGAGAATTCTTCTTCACAGATATCTACACCTTCAGTGACTTGGTTATTGCAGGCAGCGTGTAAAACCACGAAAAGATGGATGTGATGAAGATATCAGACCAACCAACAGCAACAATCACTGTCAACGCGAGAAATTTCAAAGACGTCGGTCGCTTCACCTATCTAGACACCAACGCTTCAAGTGCAGGCGGAACGGACGAAGATGTCAAAATCAGTCACTCTGAAATCAGTTTGAAAATTTTCTGCTCACATTTGGGATACAGAACAAAATTCAGATTATCAAAGCCAGTGTTGAGTCAGTCATGTTTTTTCGATATGGATTAGAAATTCGGTGTGTCACGGAAACCAATTCCAACAGATCACTGCAAACTTTTATCAACAACTGCCACCTTCACACCATATTGAAAATCAAATGGTCGGAAAGATTATCAACAGGAAACTATGAGAACAAACTAACCGAGGACAAAACTGTTGGAAAAAATTGCCGAAAGAAATGGAGATGGATAGGACGCACACTGAGAAGACTGTCGAATGACACTCCGCATCATGCCATATCTCGAATGGAACAATGAATAGAAGATAACACGCTGGGCATCACGGCATGGGTGATGTGAAGAAGATTATGTGAGGGGGAGATGAAAGCTTATGCGCAGCCGTGGGACCACCCAAATGAAGAGGACTGAAGGGAGCAGAGTGAAATGCAGATGTTGAAGTTCCGTGATGTCCCATTCTGAATCCAAGGGAATTATATATAAATATATTATATAAGGACTTTAGTATTCTACCAAAGATCAAACCCAAGATTTGGATACGCTACGTAGACGACACATTTGTAATTATCAAAAGAAACGAGTTAGATAAAGCTCACAACCTGATAAACAATGTCTTCAACGACATCAAATTCACAAGAGAAGAGGAATCAGAGAACCAAATTCCATTTTTGGACGTCTTAGTCAAGCGAACAATCACACGGGAATTAGAAACTCAAGTCTATAGAAAATCAACCCACACAGACCAAACTCTGAATTACGACGGCAACAATCCAATAGCACAAAAGAAGAATTGCGTACAAACACTATTCAAGAGGGCCAGGACTCACTGCAGCACTCCCACCTCAAAGAAAATTGAAGAAAATTATCTCACGGACGTCTTCCAAAAGAATGAATATCCACGGAAATCATCAAAAGACATATACCCCCAAGCTAACCTATCAAAACAAAAGCCCCCAAGGAAAGCACAAAGAAAATCGCCTTACCATATATAAAGGATATCTCAGAAATCACTACAAGACTCTTCAAACCCTTAGGAATTGACGTCGTACACAAACCAACAAAGTCACTTCACTCAATTCTATGTCAGCCAAAAGACTCAACAGCGAAGGAACATAAAACCAACATCATCTACAAAATAGATTGCATCAACTGCGAAAAGCACTACATCGGCCAAAGTGGACGTCCCCTTCGTCTTCGTATCCACGAACATAAGCTGGCTGTCAAAAGACATGATATCCACTCCCTCATATCACTACATACAGACAACCACGGGCATCAATTCGACTGGGACAACGTTCAAATATTAGACAGAGGAAATACTACGAATGCTAGAGAATATTTAGAAGCTTGGCATTCCAGTGAATCATCAATCAATAGACACATCGAAATAGACAAAATTTATCAACCGATAAGAAGGAAGTATCACACACAAAGGGTCAAACTTCAAGTCAAAGAAACAATGAATTACAATACAAATAACCTAGAAGGTGTGAAAACACACAAAAACAACCAATCGCACTCAAGGTCACCCACCAGGACAGACGATTAATAAACTCGTGGCGAAATCTGAAAGCTCACTTCAAATTGAAGTATGCGCTGAAGATGTCGCCTAGTAGGACGATGAAAGCTTCGCAAATTAACTTTTCAGCTCAGAGAACACAATTATATCAAAATCAGGACTTGAGTATTATTAGGAGCACTTCCACTCAATACGAATGAAGGAAGATCCAGCTGATGAGTCCACAGTGGGAAAGAACACACCTCCATTGGATTCCACTGATACCCAGCATAAACCAGAAATGAACTTTTAGTTATCTCTCTGTGATCCTTCTTTGGTGCATATAAATAGAAAGGAATCTGAAAGGATCGATTTTCAGGTACCTGTCGTTACTTTTCTCTTAATTTGCTCATAACAAGTTGCTGGTATACAAGTTTTATGTCAAACCCTATGGTTAGTTATCAGCACTAGACGAAGTAATCTACTGGTAAAGAAGAATTTCAGCAAAAACGATAAAAACAGTCATGATAAAACGGATGCACCTATGGGGGCTTATAGATAAATAATGTACTGGGTTGGAAAAAGCTACATGTATTATTCTAATATAGAATAGAAAAAGTGAACCAGTGTGCATCCTTTGTTTCATCTTCGGATTGTGTAACTTTCTATTTGATTGATTCATAACTTATTTATATTGTTTGTTGATAAGGAACTAAGAGAAATGGAATGCTAACAAAGTAATAAATCCGTAACCAGTAGGGTGCAGCATGTTGAAGGTGAGGCATTAACTCATTGAAGAAGAAGACATTGAGAAGTGTTCATGCTATTAGATGAATTCGCAGAAGTTAGAATTCATACCAGTAGCTTGATGGTCTACGAGATAGCTAGCTTTGTAACCAGAAGGTCCTGGGTTCGAACCCTGTCGGTGGATGCGTACTGATGAAGAGTCCCAAAATAGGCTGACAAAATAGCTTTCCAGTACTCCCATTTGGTTTTCCAATGGCTGTCTAACTGATTCCGGCTCATGATGAAATCTTCCAACCAATCTCCTAATTACTCCTCTTGTTCCTCCAAAATT